TTTTAATCACTAGCTCATTTTCAATCCAGAGCTGGTGCTCACTGAGGAGCATGTTGAAGAGGGCTAGGGAAAACATTTCTGGAGCTAAAAGCTCAGCTTTGCAGAAACGTGTCAAGAACCTCATTAGCTGGCTACAGCTCCGGCCAGGCAAATTCAACCCAGAGATTTAACAATGAACCATGAGAACTTTCTCCCAAGGCCAGGGAAAACATTTCTGGAGCTAAAAGCTCAGCTTTGCAGAAACGTGTCAAGAACCTCATTAGCTGGCTACAGCTCCGGCCAGGCAAATTCAACCCAGAGATTTAACAATGAACCATGAGAACTTTCTCCCAAGGCCAGTGGCAGCATCTCTGTGTCTCGGCGCCCTCCAATTCAATTTGGATGCCACTATTGAGGTCACATTAGTGCAAGGTGAAATTCTCCATCCTCTTTTATACAGGACAGCAGACCACACACTGAGGGTCAGTGAGGGGTTTTGAGTCTTTATTTACATTGGGGTAAATTTTGGAGTGGTTGCTTGTTGCTGCACTGTTACCCTGCTGGAACTGAGATCAGATCCCTAACATGAGCTTGAGTCTGTCTACACTAGGGAAATATCCATCGGTATAAGCAGAGGAGTGTAATGGAATTGGAGCAGATTCCATCTGTAGTTACACTTCCCTGACATGAGACCCTAATAATGTAAACTGGGGCAAACATCTTTAATGTAGAAAAGGCTAAAGGAGACTGAGGCTTAGTAGTTAGAGTGTGGGGGTGGAGGGCAGGGGCCAGGACTCATGGGTTCTCTCCCTGGCTCTGGTAGCAGTGTGGGTGCTGGTGGGTTAGAGTGGGGGTCTGCAAGCTGGGATTTCAGGATTCTGCCTCCCCTTCTCTGGCAAATTCATGTGTACCCAAGATAGTCATTGGGAGATGTTCCTGGCTCCCACTCCCAGTCATGGTGTGTTTGTCCCTTTCAGGTTCCTGCCAGAATGGTGGCACGTACAATGGGGTTGAGTGCATCTGCCGCCCTGGTTTCGTTGGTCCCACGTGTGCCACCAGTGACAACAGCACGGCGTGCCAGAATGGCAGCACTCCCATCGGCACCAAATGCATCTGCCCGCCAGGTCACTACGGCAATCTGTGTCAATTCTACAATGCCTCCGGAGACTGCCAGAACGGGGGCACTCCCGTGGGAATCGAATGCATCTGCCCACCTGCGTACTACGGTCCCCGATGTGAACAGTCCAACAGCACTGCCAGCTCCACCACGACCAGGCCACCCACTGCCTCACTGGTCACCTCCTCCCCAAGCACTGTGTCCTCTCTCATCACGTCCCCAAGTGCCACCACACCACATACCACCACCTTAACCACCACACCGCGAACTACCACTACCGCCCCCCAAAGTACAACCACAACCACCACTCCACGTACCACCACTACCACTACTCAAAGTACAACAAAGCAAGACCACACCCCCGAATGTCAGAATGGAGGAATCTGGGACAACGGTCGATGTAAATGTACGTCCAGTTTCCAGGGACCAAGGTGTGAATTCGCTGCGGAAGTCATTGAGGTCAAAGCCGGTAATGAAAACCTTGTAAATCGTGCAATGGGTTAGACTCCTGGGGCTGGAAGACATCTCGGGAGTCATTGAATCCAGCCCCCTGCCCAAAGCAGGACCAGCCCCAACTAAATCATCCCATCCAGGGCTTTGTCAAGTCTGGACTTAAAAACCTCTAGGGATGGAGTTTCCACCATCTCCCTAGGGAACCCATCCCAGTGCTTCACCACCCTCCTAGGGAAATAATTTTTCCTAATATCCAACCTAGACCTGCACTGGAACTTGAGTCCATTGCTCCTCGTTCTGTCACCTGTCAGCACTGAGATCAGCCTCTCTCCCTCCTCTTTGGAACCTCCCTTCAGGAAGTTGACAGTTGTTGTCAAATCCCCCCTCACTCTTCTCTTCTGCAGACTAAATAAGCCCAAATCCCTCAGCCTCTCCTTGTAAGTCCTGTGCTTCAGCCCCCTAAATCATTTTTGTTGCCTTATGCTGGACTTTCTCCAATGCGTCCACATCCTTGCTGTAGTGGGGGCCAGAACTGGATGCAATACGCCAGCTATAGCCTCTGCAGAGTTGAATCAAGGGGAATAATCACTTCTCTAGATCTGCTGGCAACACTCCTCCTAATGTAACCTAATACGCCATTAGCCTCCTGGCTATAAGGGTGCCCTGTTGATTCATATCCAGCTTCTGGAGCACAGAAATTTTCTTATGGTTGTGCCCGTGTGCTGATCATGTCACTGTCCTCTAGGGTTCCCCACCACCCTGTCCTATTGGGACAGATGCTCTGGTGTGCTGCCAACGCACAGAGCTGGGGTTACTGCTCCCCTCCAGAGCAGCGCAGACCCCGAACCAGATCAGCTTTGAGACGGCTCAGCATCGGGGATATCAACCCTCAAAGGGACCCAAACTCAAATCAATCTGTCTTAGCCTGTGTGAAAGCTTTACACAGAGAAGGCTCATAAAGATTTTCACCCATTTAATTAATGAAAGAGAGAGATGCCCAGTGGCTCCCCGCTACTGTAACCATTATTCACAATGGGCTTAATAATAATATTAATCAACCCTCAAAGGGACCCAAACTCAAATCAATCCATCTTAGCCTGTGGAAAAGATTTACACAGAGAAGGCTCATAAAGATTTTCACCCATTTAATTAATGAAAGAGAGAGATGCCCAGTGGCTCCCCGCTACTGTAACCATTATTCACAATGGGCTTAATAATAATATTAATATTCATAAGTCAATTTTCATAAAGCATGGGGAGCCATGACAAATCGATCCTTATGTCTGGGGTCTAGATTGACACCCTAAATTCATAAAATCCAAGAATCGCAGCCCAGTTATGAGTGGCCTGACATGGTGGTCAGAGCCAGCATCTGCAGGTGGGGGTCAGCAGCCAAGAATAGAATAGCAGCGGGAGAGAGGCAAGAGACAAACAAGAGCTCAGGAACCACAAGTCAGAGTATTGGAGTCAAGCTGGATTGGGAAGCCAGGAAATCAGGGCCCTAAACCAGGAGCCGTGTTGGTGTGTGGCTTCTCATGAATGCTGCAAACCTGGGTTTGAGAGCCATGGGCCATGACAAGAACAGTCACACAGGGTCAGACCAAAGGTCCTTCTAGCCCAGTATCCTGTCATCTGACAGTGGCCAATGCCAGGTGTCCCAAGGAGTGAACAAAACAGGGAATCAGCAAGTGATCCCTCCCCTGTCACCCATTTCCAACCCCTGTCAGAGGCTGGGACACCAGTCCTACCTATCCTGGCTCATAGCCAGGGCTCGACAATTATTGTAATCTACTCGCCCATGGCAAGTAGATTACAAGCTGGCACAGCGGCGCAGTGTGATTTGTACATACACAGCGTGGTTGGCGCATGCGCAGCATACACAGTGTGGTTGGCGCATGCGCAGTGTGCCGAACCACGCAGCTGGCGAGCGGGGCTTGCCGCCGCTTGGTGAGCCTTGCTAGTAGCCATTGATGAACCTAACCTCCTTGAATTTATCTAGTTCTTATTTGAATCCTGTTAAAATCCTGGTCTTCACAACATCCTCTAGCAGGGAGTTCCACAGGTTGACTGTGTGCTATGTGAAGAAAAATTTGTGTTTGTTTCTTTTAAACCTGCTACATATTAACTTCACTAGATTTCTATCATATCCCCACTTAGTCTCCTCCTATTTAATCTTAAAAGTGCCAATTTTTTAATCTCTCTTCAAATGAGATCTGTTCCTAAGCCCTGATCATTTTTGTTGTGTTTTTCTAAACCTTTTCCAATGCCAAGATATCTTTTTTTTTTTTTTTGCGATGAGGTGACCCCATCTGTATGCAGTATTCAAGATGTGGGCATACCATGAATTTATACAGAGGCAATAAGATTTTCTTTGTCTTATTCTCTATCCCTTTTAAAATTAATTCTAACATTCTATTGGCTTTGTTGCCTGCCGCTGCACATCGAGTGGATGTTTTCAGAGAACTAGCCACAATGACACTAAGGGTGTGTCTCAACTACATGG